TGTTATCAATTTTCATCTCTGTGTACTCTTTCTTATAATTTAGTTCCTTAATAACCTGTTGAAATGATATAATTTATACTACAAGTTGACTGGCATAGGTCTGGTAATCTTTTGTAAGGTTTTTATTTGAAAATATGAAATATGGATACATGCTCAATACTTAACCGGCTGCCCCTCTAGCATTCTGATTTGTGCATTTTGCTTAAAAAGAATACTGTTATAGATGAACGTGGTTCGTTGGCTGTCACAAGTCCCATACCAGGATCACTTGCAAGTTTGCTTCAATATTTAAAGAAGGTTGGTCAGTTAATTTTCTTTCACTTAACACACACACACACACACACACTCTCTCTCTCTCTGTGGGCCCCCAAAGAACTATGAAAAATGATCAAATTTGGAAAACAAACACCTTGCACATAGAACACCCCATAAAGCTTTGCAATCTGAAATTTGAATGAGAGTGTTGAAGACCATACTATATTATCTTGATACATTCATAACACCAAAAATCTCTTATTGATACAGCCTCCTAATCGGATTGCTCTTATTGGTGAAGTTGTGCCACTTGGTGATAAGAAGGTACAATTTTAGAAACTAAAGATAAAAGGTGTATTTGTCGTTTTACCTCTCTTATAACTTAACCAGTCTTCACTTACATTTTGGTTCTATGAGGCTATGATCGACAACGTTTTATTGATATTGTGTAATCTAAATTATTGAAGCTACTTATGTTGATGCAAATTATTTTGCTTCAAGTTTTTGGCTGGGCTGTAATCTATATCGGATACCTTTTGTGCTTTTATGCCAACTGGTGCATCCAAAGATCACACTGGTGATTGCCGAACCATCTCAAGTGGTGTTGCACAGGTTCCACTTTGTATGAGCCAGCTCCCTTACCTTTTCTTTGAATAACTTCACTTTTCTGCTGACACTTATCTTGTGCATATGTTCTCTTTTGGAGGTCATTTGGCCCCACAAATCATAGCAGACATAGAAACCATATAATAACATCTACATTAAAAATTTAGTGGGATATGTATCCTCTGTCTACTCTTATCACCAGTGTCTACATGCTTCTATGGTATCAACTCTAAATACCATAGTGGTACCTATTAGTCATCTTACCCATCATGTCTTCATCATGATGCCGGCACCACTGTAGTTGTAGTTCGTGTATTTTATTTTAATAGGACAGTCTAAATCCGTTCTGTAAATGGCTATTTTCTTTCATTATCTTGTTTGATTTGCACATGACACAGCCTCATCAATTAGCACTGCATCATTGATAAAAAAACATACACCATGGAAGTTTGTCCATAACTGAAGTAATGAGATAAGGCCACAAGAACTTAATCCTACCCTTGGTGATTCTTTAAAGCATCTTTCATTTCAGGTACTTTACTTCAATTCTCATTCAAAGCCTGTTAATGTTATAAAAAAATAACTCATCATGTGCTCAAGTAATTCCCCTCACTATCTCCACTGAACAACTTATTAAACTAATCCCTTTACCTCTCTTTGATATCCATGTATTGACCATTGCTCTAGGTCCATATAGGAGTCATAGAGATTTCAATTATGATAACAGGGTCCAAGTAGATCTTTTTAAACTTTAGAATGTCCTAAGATTTGACGGTAGCGAAGACACTCTTTAAGAGAGGAGATTTCCACCAAGTAACCTTAAGTGAGTTGTGAGGAGTGTGTAAAAAGTAATGACACAACATTAGTGGTTCACTGGAGTAAGACATTCTGCTAAGCAGAATAAGGGCAGCGAAAACTCAGACTAATTGGTGGAAATTGAAAAAAGACTATCTATMTATGTCAACWCATAGAATTGTTAGSAAAGGGTCTCGGCGTATAGATGGGAAAGCTAATATCATGTGGAACGAGAAGTCAGCTGGCATCCACAAAATGGCAAAGTGCTTGGAGCTAGTAAAGGAAGCAGGCATAAATCTAGTGTTGGGGATGGAGAGGGAAGCTTGCAAGGCTACTGGGGGAAGGAAATTAATGCTGCAAAGTACAAAGAACCAACTGTAAGATATTAGAACATAGAGGATAAAAAACAGAAAGCAAGAAAGTGATGAGACAAAATAGCAGACCTTAATACAATTAAATGCATCAATGAGGGAGAACCAGATGTCGTGAAGCTGGTGGGCTAAGACAAGAGTAAGACTAGGGACCTTAATTCAATCAAATGCATCAATGATGAGAAACAAAGACTTAATTATGCCAACATTTACAGTCCCCTCCCATAACTTTTCATGGAGGAGTTCCCCTCTATTTCCTCCTTGAAAGTGTCTGTTGGTGGATTATTTCAAGCATTCTTGAGAGGCATGCACTATTTTGATGTTCTGATAGCTACAAAAAATGTAGTTTAATAAAAATAAATTGCTGATGGTCTTTATGTTTGCATCGAGTTATATCTATGATCCTTATTTATGGAATTCTACCAGGTCAAGACAGCTGCAGAAAGCCTTCGAGAGGCGATAATATCAGAAGGGGAGGCGATAAAGAAGTTCAGTTATTCCGTTTCTGGTATATTATGTTCATCTAATTTCAGCTCTACATCTCATGGAGAAAATCTCCAAGAGCTACTGGATGAAGATCAACAATACATGATCTATAAATTTGATATAAGGTAGGAATAGGCCTTTACACATATTTTATCTACAGAAATTATAACTGCATTTTGTGAGCATAAATATTGGATTGTCCTATAACTTGTTGAAATGTGTCTATTGAATGTGTGGTATATACACATGCACACTTATATTGCATATACTAGCATACATGTAATACAAAGTCTTGACCATGCAGTTCAATCACTTACATAGAAGGTAAGGGAAGCAGCCATGAAGTAGATTTAAAGGATATGGAGGAATCAAAGGCTGACCCCTTGTGTAAGTGTCTTCCTACACATGGATAATGTTTACACCTGCAAATATTCTACACTCTTCGGAGTAAAGTAGTAGTCCCTGCCTTTCTAGGATTCACTTCCAACTAGTCACTGTTTGCCATATTTACAAAAACATTAGCAATAGTTTTTGTTAATTTTCATGTGTCAAAACAAAATCTCACAAGCGGGTTCACCTCTAGTCGTATATGTCACCTCTGGAGCCGACTCTCACTTCTCATAGTGTTTTCTTCCTCAAAGTGAATAATGCTTTTTCTTTTCACGAATATGTACTTTAAGGAGATGTTTACTACCTGCTGACCGCCTCTTACCGGTAAGAAGGGATGTTGTACACCCACAAACCCTGACCCTCAAATATGTTGACCGAGATGCTGAACCAGTAAGGAAGGGGTTGCTTTCTGACTCGGTCAATGCTTTTACAACTCTTACCCAGACACTTGGTAAACAACCATTTTTAGTCGGCTCTTACCTAGACTTCACCCCTTACCCAGACCGCAATTTTACTCAGTCAGCGCTTACCCAATTTGTGTTAGTAAAACGATCCTTAAGTTCAAATTTACAATTTCGAGAAGAAAATTTTGCAGGAATTTCTTTTGGTGTTGATGCCATTTGGTAGTAAACTATATTTTAGGTGATAATATGGGATGAGAGGACGATATACTCAAGTTGTAAGATTATATTGTTTTGGTATATGGTTTTATGTAGCACTTTTTTCTGCAAGCTTGATTGATGGGATTAATCAAAGCGAAGCTAGACGTCGAGCCCTGATGATTTTGTGTGCTACGTACTTGAATAAGAATGTGAAGGTATGACACCATCATGCATCCCCTTGCTAGTCACATGTTCATTTCTTTGATATCTTGTGTCTGTGAAGGATGTAGTGGTGGTTTCCATCGATCGGAAAGGGGTGGACCTTCTAGGCAAGGTTGTGGGACCCATGACGGATGTCGGGTCTCGTGAATGCGAGTGGAAGGAGTTGAGATTGGTGTTAACGGAAGAAGCTGGAGACGTCGAGACATTCTGCAGACGACTTGTTGAGATGGAAAAGAAAGCACTTAAGAATGTTGCAGAATTCAGTGGCCTACCATCAAATCCAATTGCAACCGACCGGCCAGAATTGGATGTCTAATAGTAGTTAGATCAGAATAGATCCGAGATTTCAATATTCAAACGGGATCTGTTGGTTGTTGGATACCAGTTCAAAAGCAAACAAAACCGAACCGATTCAATACAATCACTATCTAAGTATCACTCATGAAGAAGGATCTCCTTTGAGATTACCGCTTGCTAAAGTCGATATTTGTATTCGGTATTTTGGTGTATTCTTATGATTTATGCTTGCAAATTATGTTAGTGGTATATTTATATTGATGTGGATTTATGAGTAGTGTTTTAAAGCGAAATATATGAATAATTGGTTTAAAGTATTGTATGTATTTAATTTGATCCAATACATAGTGAACATTTGTATCCAATTGATAGAATCAATTCAATTCAATCATCGGTTGGGTTAGATTAGATTATCAGTTATCCAAATTCAACATTCAGATAATTAAAAGGATCCTTGTCATATTCATGGGTAAATTTAAATCAAAATGTTACCAAATGTCATAATGAATGAATTTTTCAAAGTACAATGTCTAATAAAAAATAATCTAAAAGTAAATTGTTGTAATAAGAAAACTAAAAATACAATATTATAATACAAAAATTTGTAAAGGTAAGTTACTATTTAATACATTTTATCCCTTTTACGAAATAAACCTGTGATAGAATGTCCTCACTCAAACCAACCAACATATTCTTAATCACACATATAAAATGAAACATAATCAAAAGACCAAAAGATTACAATTTACAAATGAAATTCAAAAAAACAAAAAAGCTTGAGTCGTGGGATCAATAGATCAACGTTCAAGTTTGATATACCAATTTGATCAATGTCTTACGTGTATAATTTAAAATCTGGTTATATTATCAAAATAATTTATTTTTTATTATAGTCGGTAAATTTGACACAACTAACTTGTTGGTGATCGTCAATATGACATCCCTCTGAACTGGAATCCACTTTTTAGGTTATAGTATCATTAAAATCATTTGCTCGTAAAAAAAATAGATAAATGTAATATATTGATGATAGATTAAGGGCCTGTTTACTTGTGGCTTAATGAGCTTAGTGGATAAACCGGCTTATTCAGACAGACAAACAAGGCTGTTTTACCTTGGACTTATTCGCTCAAAAATGGGCTTATTCGCTCAGAAATGGGCTTATTCGCCCAGATGAAAAACCTGTGTTGTCCAGGTTAAGCCAAGGTAAAAGACTTGCCCTACCCTTACACAATAGTCACGCCTCTCTCAAGTCTCTTCTCCATCTATCCAACACCCTTCGATCTCTTCTCCATCGATCCAACACCCTTCGATCTCTTATCCATCGATCGACTGTTGGTCTCTTCTCCATCGATCTCTTCTCCATCGATCGACTGTTGGTCTCTTCTCCATCGATCGACGGCTGTTGCTCTCTTTTCCGTCGATCGACCATACCTGTTGCAACGAGTAGCAAAGGAGTAGCCAGCGGCGACAACTACGACGATGTAGAGCGGTGAAGGCGATGAAGACGAAGGCTCAGATCGGTCGCCGGTGACGAAGCAAATAGGGGTGGCGGCAAAGCAACCAAAGATGGCGAACGCCGAACAGGCGAGAGGGAGGATGAACAAGCAAAAATCAATTTTATGGTATATATCATGGAAACAAGAAATTTCAAGCTGCTGTTTGCCCTTTTTTTTGGTATTTGCTGTTTGCTTAAGGTTTTCTTACCTATTAATATTTGCTGCTACCATCCTATCCTCAGGGGTAAATTGGTCATTTATGTTATTCAGACTGTTGATTCAGATAGAAAAGTAAACAGCAACATAAATTTATCCAGACAGACAAATTTATCCAAACAGACAAATTTATTCATACAGGACTTAATAGAAAATTTAGTAAACAGCCCCTAAAATAGTTACGTTAGACCAAAATGGATTCATAAAACAGGGTCAAACTATAAAGTATTTTTTTATTAACCTGGATATCCAACCCGTTATGCGAGCCGACTAATCTTAGGACGACCACCTACTTTGCAGATAGCCCAGAATCACTGCATTTGAACCTCTGTGACCACAAGGGGATTTTTATTCCTTCTTGAATTTAAACTTGAAACTTTATGATATTTTTGATTTTTGAAGCCAAGCTCAAATCAATCCAATGAGCAAAACATTGAAAACAAAATTTACATATAAAATACGTTTATCGAACACCATCTAACCCAACATTTGACCTTTCTAATTTAACTCATCATTATATTTATTATATTAGTTTATTGGTGGTAAATAATTAACTAATATTTTATTATCTCAAATTTCTTAGGATGTTAGCAGTTGTCATTTTATTTGTAATGACAACAATTGATTATTTGTAGATCATTTGGTTGAATTTGAATATAGGTCCAAAGAAAAATTATATAGAGAGGGGGATTCAAACGAGAAAAGTAACTAAATAAAATCATACAAAAACGGTCAAATCACGTATAAAATCATATATGATATTACACTAATGGCTAATACAAGAGAGTGTGGGCGACGTGGCATGTGACCTCAGGTCGCAACCAAAGTTGCGTGAATCACATGTAATTTTACACGTGATTTTAGTGTAACATTATATGTGATTCAACCGTCCACAAGTATTAGAAAATGACACTTTAATCCCTCCAACAATCAACAACTAATATAACTACTTTTCCTAAAAAAAAAAAATATATGACAAATAAACACAAATAAATGACATACTTTCAACAATATCATTTACTTAAACCATACACCCTTTAATACGTTGTCTTCATATCCTATCTTGGATTCATCAATCATATCATTAGGATCTGGAGTTACTGAAGAACTAATGTCAACAGAGGGTGGATTTGAAGAACTAATATCATTACGATTTATAGTTACTGAAGAACTAATATCAGTAGAGGGTGAATTTGGAGGTTTGGAATCTTGTACCAAAACGATACTTTTTTAGGGAATTCACAACTAAGAGCATATAGGATTACTCCAGGTGTTCCTTAGTTGAGACTTCGAGTTTTCTGATCTCAACCCCCATATTCCACGATGTACCTCTAAGTTTACGAAATGTCTTTCATACCCTTAGTACGCATCCTTCACAGCCATCGAGTGGAACAATTTGAAGAACAAACGTTGTAGGAGTTGTCATCTCTGATATGTTTTGCTAAAAATATTATAACTACATTAATCAAAATATAACACAAACTGTTGTCTAAGAAAATGAAAAAAAATATATATAGTAATATTTTTACATGCAACTTGATGCTGGTAATTTACAATTTACAGGAATTTCTTTTGGCGTCGATGATATTTGGTATCAGTTAGGGGATGAGAGGACGATATACTCAAGCTGTATGCTTACATTGTTTTTGGTATATGGTTTTTTGTAGCACTTTGTCCTTCTGGTTATATAAAAATTATTGGATTGAATCCCTCAATTTTTATATGAAGTGAATACCTTTGTTTTGAGTCTTATTAAGGATTAGGTCCCTATCATTAACTTCGTTAAATTTGCTTTGTTATATGAATGAAGATCGAGATGTCAAAACCAAAGAACACATCAACTTGGATTAGGAACCATCAATCTGGTATCTATGTGGGTGTTTCTAGGTTGTTTTTGTAACCATTGGGAAGACCTCACCATAAGTACGACCTCGTCATTGGAATAGCTTGGTCGATTGGTTTGTTTTTTTTTTCCTACAAATCCTGGAACCATAGGGTTTTTTTTAATTTTTGAAGGGGTTAATGAAGAAAAACGATTTTCCAAAACTCGTATACTTTTCATTCATAACTCTTAATTTATTTTTTAAAACACGTTATTCAGTGATTGTATATAACGTTTTCATAGACATGTTTTTTGAACTTATAAGTTTTATAAAATACCGAAACCAAAGTCTTGCACTTCATTTATACGTATAAAGTTTATTTTACCCATTTGAATTAAACTTTTATATTTATAATTATCACAATTATTAAATTTAACCGAATATTTTATAAAATTATAAAAATATTTGATATACTTTTTACTTAATTAATTGATCT